CATAAAGCACCGTCTGGGTTTTTGTTTTTCAGGTTAGTTGCAGCGCTTTTACGGGTTAGTCTATACGTTCAGGCCTTAGGTCTAGGTAATTCTTGTGTTTCTGCAAAGTTTTGTGATTCAAGGTAGGTTGAAGATTATTACTGATTTTCTAATAACTTTAATTAATTAATTATAATTAAAAAATTCCAACTAATTTGTATGTAAGTAGGTGTTATGTATTCGATGTGTAATAACTCATTAAAATAACCATATATAAATTTTGATATTCTAGCTTTAAGTACCTTTATGAATTTTTAACTAAGCGCCTTAATGACTTCAGTATGACGCTGTAAATTATCTTAAACTATCGTTGCGTTTTATTTTTGTTTACGCCCTGTCATTGAATAATCAAGTCCCAAATGGAATTAATATCGAAACTGTGTGTGAAACGACGTTTTCCACAAAATTTTGGTTGTTTCACCTTTTATGAAAATTAGATAATAGTTAATTGAAAATATGTGTTACAGTTTGTTTATAAATAGTAAAACATTATTGTTGAGAAAGACAATTAAGTATTCAAAATAATACAGCAACGACGCAGTTGTTATATTATTTTAGCTACATAATTAAATGTTCCTAAAACGCGGTACAGCGCGAGTATTGCCCTGTCTGGGTCTTATAATATCGTCTGGTTGGTCTGGTTTAATTAGATAGATATAGATTTGTAAAGACATTATACAACTAAATTGATTATATTGATTGTGGCGTACAATATTTAATATCAGTGCATATTTTAATGCTTGGACACACTTTAATTTTCATAGTTATGCATTATGTGAATGTTCTAAGAATACACGACTATAGATGCTGCTAGGCTTATAATATTTAACTCTTAGAATAATATGACTAAAAAAAACAGAACATATTTTTCTTACCTTTCCAACCTTTTTCTTAACTTTTACTTACAACATACACACACACACACACACACACACAAACACACACACACACACTCACACAACACATACACACACAACAAACACACAACACACTCACAACACACACACACAACACACTCACAACACACACACACACAACACACACACACACATCACACACACACACACACACACACAGCACACACACAACACACACACACACACACACACACATACCCCACACACAACACACATATATACACACACAACACACTCACAGCACACACACACACACACCACACTCACAGCACACACACACACACACACACACACACACACACCACACTCACAACACACACACACACACACACACACACACACGGATTCGCCCGCACGCTCTCTCACACACACACACAGACACACACACACACACACACACACACATACACACACACACACACACACACACACACACACACACACACACACACACACACACACACACACACACACACCGTTGCCGTTACTCTTTCAACCTATTAAAGTCTAATGATGAACATAGCCCTCCCCTATTGCCATAGTTGCCACGCTTGACATTTGGGTGGGTAACAACAGGTTTTTAATTTTTAGTCGTAATTAGAAGAATCTGCTGCACACTTCCTGGTTTATTTCCCTCTGTCGCCTCATACGACATCCACGCCATGATATGCGGTAGTGGATATTATTGCAACGCCACTACACGGTACACAAACATAGGTGCACACACGCATATAAACACGCACACATACGGGCACACATATAGACACAACTAATATAGTTGTTAAGAGAATACACAAGTTTTAGGGGGAAATAAATCGTCGACAGATTTTTGCTCCTATTATTGTAAAAATAACGGATTGAAGTGGATTTTAATATGTAAAAGTAGTGAGATCTTGTGTATTAAATATTATGTACAAATGTAACTATTAGTGAAAATATTGAAACATGTACTCCGATGGTGATGTAAACCCCAAGTTATTTTGTCTGCTTGGGTGATTTTATCATCATAGATTGGCTCAAGCTGCCGTCAAAATCTCACAAAAAACATAGCAATGTGACACATCGATCCTTAAATATATTTAGATTTTTTTTAAAGCAAATCATTTTAAATTTATCACTTGACAGTGGCAAAAGTATAGCCTTACGAGTCCTAAGAAAAAAATATTACAAGTAAGGTCTTTTGCAAATATCCATTTAGAATAAATAAAATAGCATTGGTCGGTTACAGATACTATATTGTTATAATAGAAATGTTTTCAATTCAAAATTAGCTCTATTAATTTATAAATCATTATCAATAGATTATGTTGTTTATTAATGTGTCATTCAATTGTATGCCCCCGATTTTAGCCTTTACGCTATGCTACTCATTTAAAGACCATACTTACATACACCGTCACCATCATTACAGCCCTGCACAAGTCCACTGCTATGTTCAGCAAGAAATGCCACAAAACTCACTCACTTTGAAACATTTTACTCATAACAATTAATTCTTCTCTTTCTCTTTCAAGAGTACTCGTGTCTCCCTTAAACTATATCTTTATTCGTCTTATCGAGCTCATTCAACGTTCGGCTTATCGAGCTCTTACCAAAGGCGACACCTCCTATATATTTTCATTTGTACCTACTTCTGTCTACTATAGCTTTATGTCTATGTAGATGCTCCGTCACTTGTAATTAACACAGTCAGGAAGATAAATAATTTGCCAGAGTTTGTTTTTACATTTCGCGTGCGTTTATTTCTTGGATATATCTACAAGCACGGTTAATAATATTATTATACTTTTGAGATTGTTGTTTTAAACTATTCCGCGAACTGTTCACGCTGCTTGGAGCAGATCATAAGCGTTTAGTTTGATCAGCCGCATCCTATCACACGGTGAAGACGGTGCTCATGAAGAAGGCGTGCCCGGTGCCTTGCATGAGTTTTCACAGCTATATCAATAAGGTAATATTATTTAAACATTGAAAGCAGTACTGGAAGGTGTATAAAAATCTGTTATAGAATTTTAATTTCTGTGTGCGGGTAGGGCATGACCTGTCACCCATGTTTAACGTCCAATCGGGCGTAAAGCAGGGTTGTGTCATGTCTTCCTGGCTGTTCATACTGTATCTCGACAGCTGTTTACAGAAGCTGAAAGATAGCTGTTTGGGTGTGAAATTGGGTGACATAAAAGTAAATTTTTTGCTGTATGCTGATGATGCAGTGCTTATTGCACCATCAGAGGCAGAACTGCAGGCATTAGTCACGTGTATAAAAGAGGAATGTGAAATTAAAGGTCTTTGTTTGAATGCTAATAAAACTAAGGTTCTGGTATTTGAAAGGGACGAAGAGAGAACGAAGTGTGAAATATGGGTAAATCAGGAATGTCTAGAACAGGTAAATGAAATTGTATACTTGGGTAGTGCTTTTAGCCGGTATGGAAGATGTGATTTAGATGTGGACAGGCGTGTCGCTGCCGGGAACAAAGTCAATGGTGCCCTGACTGCGTTAGTCAAAAGGCAAGGCGTAGCGAAGAGTGCACGCCTTGCAATACATAACGCAGTGTTGGTACCGACTTTGTTATATGGCAGCGAAACCTGGGTATGCCAGAAGAAGCATAAAAGTAAGTTGAACGCAGTGGAGATGCGATCTCTTCGTAAAATGTGCGGCGTTACTATGGCCGACCGAAAGCGAAACGAAGAGATTCGCAATATGGCAGGTTTGAAAGATGACCTTATCACAAAAATTGATAAGGGCGTGCTTCGGTGGTTTGGGCACGTTGAGCGAATGAGTGAAGACCGAATGGTAAAGAAAATATATAGCGCGAAAGTTAATATTAAAAGGTGTCGAGGTAGACCGAGACTAACTTTCGAAGACCATGTGAGCAAATTGCTCGAAGAGGGTAGGGTCAAGAGTACTCGGATACCTAGACGTGCATGCATGAAGAAGATAATGAATCTGAAAGAAGCGAAAGAGGTTTGTAAGGATCGTGACACTTGGCGATCTGTTCTCTCTGGCTACCCCGTCAGGGATTGTGCGTGAAGATAAGTAAGTAAGTATATTAGTATGTTTAATGAGATATTTGTGATATTTAATAGAATTTAATTTATTTATTAATACTTTGCATAATAATATATATGCGAAGTAATTATTTATATATTTAAATGTTATCACTTCCCATAACATCCGTTTTTGATATAAAAGAAATTGTTTTAAGAATATTACTGTAAACATTGAAATTAAGGCGATATTTCTATGAACTCTTAATGTTAATATTGTATTAAAATTACTATTTTATATACGTTACAAGTTTTATGTTAATATCCATTATAATCAGGGTATTTCACAGAGGAACTACACATATTAATGCTTTTAAATTATTTTTACCATATATGTATTACTTTCGTTTCAATATCCCGCAGGAGAACTTTGTATGGTATGGATATCACGGGATATCGTGCGATATCACGGTATCCTTACGTCAAGGCATGGCAGGTGCCCTAAGCGACGGCTACTAATACAATCATTTCAGAGATTATCCTTTGTAGTCTCTTCCCGATTCACAAAAAATCAGGCATCCAACTAACACCGAAAGGTAAAGAGATATATTAAATAACATAACTACATATTCATCCTCATCATGATCATTACTGCCCTCCTAAAGTCCACTGCTCAACCCTGAGGCTCCTGTATCTTATCGACTTCCTGCAAATCTTCGTAGCTAGCGGCTGCCTTATTTAAACTACATCTATTAAAATTAGTCGGGAAGAAAAATGAGCTCTGTAATGTGGACTTTACTTAAAAGCATTTATGATCTCGGATCGACTATCGAAGTGTCAGTTATTGGTTATGAGGCTTATCATTTTTAGTAATTCCTTCGCCTTAATTTTTTGTCGTAGGTTTGTCTTCCATCTTTACACGATATTGTTTTATTTGGTCGTTATATAGTGAAAAATTTACCATCTTTAATAGGTAGGTACTATACTTATATTAATATTGCACGATTTCAGAACAAGACTCTGCTAGCGTGGTTCTTATTCACCAGCGGCTCAAATGAAATGGTCTACATGCAGGATTCCGAGATTGATCCCAAGAGTGTTACCTGGGTTTGCTACGCTCTGCCTCGTAAGTTTTACATTGCATTATAAAATAATATAGTATATTTGCATCACAAAGAGGAACTTAACAGCAAGTTGCAATCAAATTATAATAGTTGTTTTTTTTTTCTTCTAGTTTTAAAGTTTAACTTATATGTAATATCTTGATATAAACACATTTGAGGTGAATCTGCTTTGATAATTTTATTTTAAGTAATAGTATTTAAGTAATATGACTATACGATAATTTAAGTTTCTAGTTTTAGTTTTTTTTTTTATTATTATAGTTTGTAATATTGTATTAAAATAAATATTTAAATATTATTACTTTTTATGTCGTAAATAATATAAACATGTTTCTCATTTTATTTTCATTTATTTTAGTGTTTACAATATGGTATTAAAATTGCAATGGTTTTTACAGAGTAAAATGTGTTATTTAACAATAATCCTCATTTAAAAAATGGATAAGCGCTCTAGCAATAAAAGTAATATACGTAACATATAAATGTAGGTAATATACGTAATATAAGTAATATATAAATGTTTAATTTGCAGGCATTGCATGCGCAGCGATAAGGGTGCGTTGTGAACTACGCGGGCCCGAAGATGCGGTGTGCGTCCGGCAAGTGCGTGTGCTCAGTATGCCCGCGCCCCACCCCACCAGCGCGCTGCCCTCGCACGCGCTGCAGTCTCTCGTGGAGCAGGACACGTTGCGTGTGTTCCGCTTGCTCACTTTACAGGTTATTTTTTATGATTCTTTAGATTTTTTTAAACAAAACTATCCTTTTCTTAGGTTTTCTAAAAGCAATTGCTGTATAGCATAGTTTTCTCTCTGTTTTTGTTTATTTTATTTTATTATGAGACGAGATTTGTTTTTCTTTGGTGTGCAATAAAAGGTGGCTACTGACCTGCCTGCAGCAGGGGCAATCTAGGGTGTAGGAGTGGGGATGACCCTTAATTGCCTCCTTAATTGTGATGTGTGTAGGCAAGCAGGGGCAATTTTTTAAGTCGGACCTGCGGCCTTCGATATTGCTTCGATCGCTGTGCTCCCTAGATTGCCCCTGCGGCAGGCAGGTCAGTAGCCGCCTAAAGAAAGCCGACAAATCTAGCTCCATTGCTGAACAAAGGCCTACTCCGACAAACGCCGCAAAGCCCGGTTTGGGGCCACCTGCATCTACCTGGTTGGATGCCTTTCGCTTTGTTTTATTATGACGAATAATCATTTCGGTTATGTATTATTTACTCATTAATTATTCAGTAGTTTCAAGAGTCGTTACATCCAAAAGTCCCCTGCTGAACATAAACCTCGCCTAGGCAATATTTACTATAGTTGCCACGATAGGTGATTGGATACCGCAGTTGTTTAGTTTTAGTCGTTATTAGGAAGACGTTGCTGCCTATCTTCTGGGTTATTTCCCTCTGTCGGCTCTTACGACAGCAATGAGCTATATGGGGTAGTGGATATTCTTACACCGACTTCAAGTAGTTACAGTTAAGATTACTTAAGTATGATACTATCAGGTGTTGACGAACTGCTAGAGTGTTGCGTGAGCACGTCGTCGGCATACTCTTTGCTGGACATATACTCACCTCGCTACAGATACAGGTGAGAGTCAAAGAGAGTGTGCGAGACAAGTCATATCTTAAAATTAATTGACTTAGTTAACTAAAGATCATGGTCAGACTGTTGTGTTATTTAAATCGTATTACTAGAAGAAAAGTGGGATAACATTCCACAAGTGGATTTACAACTAATATTAAACAAATAAAATTTATGTGATAGTATAGATACTTAAAAATTTGTTCTTAATATCGTATTAACCAACACGTTTGTCATTTTATTACTGAGTTTTGATAAACAATAAAATTCTATAGGGTTGTTGAGTTCCTTGTCTATAGTATTTCTGTTAAATTACCTAGGCGAGGCCTATGTTCAGCAGTGGACTTTTGGCTGTAACGACTCTTACAACTACTGAATAACTAATGAGTAAATAATGCATGACTTATACTAATTATTAGTTCTTACTACAAAAAAATAAAAATCGGTTATTTTTAAAATGTTTACTGTTTAAAAATTCTTTACTTAATTATTGATTAACATTAATTTTATTATGTTTTATATCATTTATATTGTGCAAATATTGTTAAATTTAACAATATTTGCACAATATAAATTGATTTCTTTGTATAATGTCTCTACTACAGGGCTAGTATGGGCAGGAGACAATTTTATCCATGGGGAAAGGAGAAAATGTTTATCTCCTCGCTTAGTTTTATCCACCCTTCGAGCATGAGTACACTGGTTGATATAGGTACAAACATTTTTTATGAATATAAACTTAAACCACGTCTAATGAACTTATTGTGGATAAAATTATACCTTTCAAATGTCAAATAAACATATATTTTTTTGCTATGCTATGGACGGGGGATATATGTATGTCTACTCGTTGTGTCAAGCGGGGATATACTTCTCCCCGTTGCCGTGCTTTGACATAAGGACGAGATAATTTTATCTCTTGTCAGTGCATTTAATCAGCCCATGCTAGTCGTGCTGGTTCGTAAATATCTTATATTACAAAAAATAGAGTAGAATAATTTTAATTCAATATAGATTATTAGATAATACTTATTGAAGGTCATTTTTTATTTAACACTGGTTCGGTAAATACCTCTGTCATGGGAAGAACCAGTAAGAAACCCAGCGGGACTTTTTTAAACATTTCACTTTATAATAATTTGGTTTGTACTCTTTTTGAATAAATTTTAATAGAACCAGCATGGTGGCTTTCCCAGAGATTATTTTCATTGATGTATTCTGTAATATTATAATAACACTTTTTGTACATTTTTCCTTGAATAAAACATTAAAACTTGTTTATTGACAAATTTTGTACATTTTCTGGGATTTTTTTGTAAAAGCGTATGCCCCCCATAAATGAATTAACAATTCTGTTGAGTCTAGTAACTGGTATTACAAGATTATGTTTGTTCCTAGTAGATGTATAAAGTATGAACATCTTTATTCTTATCAAAGCTATTTATGTTTTAATGTATGTATATTGTCATAAATATATTGCGATGCCAAAGTTAATATGTATATTTATTTAAATTTTTCTCTAAGGGACTCTTTACAATTTAAGTTATAAACTCCTCTCCATTTAAGAGCTCATTGGTATTTGGAACCTCACCAAATTTTTGCTCATCTTCCCAAAGAACAATGGCAGACTGTCATACATAAAATTAGTTGAGAAGGAATGATAGCATCTATATATCAAAAATATCTTTAAATGTTAAGCGTCAGTCTTTTAATAATTCTTTCAAAGAATTTTGTCCTGAGAAGGAGTCAAAATAAAGATATTTAGATTTGAAACTTTTTAGGTTATATCTTATGTCACTTGGAAAATGTCATGGTTTTTATTTATTTATGTATTTTTATGTATTTATTTTATTTTATTGATATTTATGTATATTTATCATTTTCATTTACAATTATATATTTAAACAGCCCAACCAGATGAGAAAACTATATAGATACCCCACAAGAATAATGTCAAAAATAAGGCACTCTATTCCCTTACTCCCATAGTCCAATGGGATGGTATTTCGTCTCGAGAGAGAAAACACGGCTTTACGCGCTATCCACGGCAAGGGGGTGAAACACTGCCAATTTCCTAACTCCGGCCTGCTGCTGAGAATTTCTTGATAGAAATATCCAATAACAGATTTTAGCCCGATCCGGGATCTCATGATCAAAATCCTATTTACGACGCTAGACCAACAGAAACACAAACATTTTTATTCGATATAGATTATAAATAATACTTATTGAAAATCACTCTTATGTTTAATTACCACTGCTTCAGAAAAACCTCTGTCCTGAGAAGAACCAGCAAGAAACCCAACGCGACTTTTTTTTAAATAACAGCTTACAATCATGTATGTTACACAATTCACAACACAACAAATTAGAAATAGCTTGGTAGCGATCACCTCACTCCCAGGGGTTATTATCATCCATAAATTTCTTAATATTATATCTAGTCAGGTCGTAAATTCTGTCACATGTTTAATATAAAATAATTGAAACAAGTTTATTCATTATGAAACCATTTATATACCAAAATGAACTTCACAAAATATAGATTCTTATGACACTAAAGTTTATTCAAAAGGACCTCCGTGATTTTGAATACAGGCCTTCAATCTGCGCGGCCAGTCGTCTATCGCAGCACGAACGAGGTCCATGTCAACATCGGCGGCTGCCTTAATCAAGGATGTCTTGAGTAACTCCAAATTGGGATGAGGCTTTGAGCACTCCTTTTCCTCCAAGTGTTGCCATATCTTGTAATATAACGGATTCAAATCTGGACTGGAGGAGGGCCAGTCTTCGTGCCGGATGAAGTCGATTTCACGCGTCGCTAGCCAGTCTTGTGTGCTCTTCGCTCTATTAGCTGGTGCCGAATCTTGTTGGAATACCCAGTGCCTGTTATTGAACATGGTATGAGAAACAGGTTCCACAAGGTTCGTCAGGACTGTATTTTTATACACAACTGCATTCGTTTTTACACCTTTCTCACAAAAATGTACCTCTGTTAAGCCCCAATAAGAAACTCCCAACCATACCATGAGCGAGGATGGAAAATGACCTCGTTGGACACGTGGAATACGGTTGCTCGCTTCTTCACTATTTTTTTTGCGCCCAAAGCAATTGGATAATGGGCTACCCTTTGCGTAGGGAGGCGGAAAATGCATTACGCATACCACGATAGGCTATCCATCGTGGCTATGGGGGACTCACGCCTAACCGGGGAGCCTAAGTGATACCCCCTAAAAACCGCCTTTGGGGACTGACAACCAGCTGTTTAAAGCTTCACATGCCGTATCGAAAGCGACCCTCTTTTAGGAAAAGAGGGCGCAGGTGGCTATAAGCCGCTGAGGAAGTGCCTACGAAGGCAATTTAATTATGAATAAAAATTAATTATGAAAATTAATTATGAATTTGACTGAGCCGCCAGGAGGCAGTTCAAGTCGTTTGAAAGTTTGTTCGGCGGATCCGAGAGGGAGTTCCTCGGCCTGCGGACGCGATAGCGGGAGGGGAGTGGGGCTGCATAAGTAGCTGCCTCACGAATAAGTGTGTTACTATGCGACTCTGAGACTTTAAAGAAGTTTTCAGAGAGTTTTTTAATAAATTGTTGAATGGTTGGGATTTCTAAGTCCCGATGAAGGTCGGCATTACGGACGTACCAAGGTGCGTTCGTAGCTCGACGACAGAAGTGATTTTGTACTGTTTGAAGTTCATTTATAATTTTAGAATTAGCGTGTGCAAAAATAGGGGCCGCGTAAGACATTACCGGTCGTATACAAACCTTATAAAGGGTTCGCTTATTTCTTAGAGACATTTTACTATGTCGACCTAACATACTGTTAAGCCTACCTAGATAGAACCGTGCTAGACGGGTTACTCTTTTGATATGAGGCTCGAAAGTAAGCCTTGTGTCAAGGGTGACACCTAAATATTTAGCAGACGTATGCCAGGGGACTGTGGTCTTTAACATACGTATTGGTGGGATATGTTTATTGATATTGAAACGGCGCCGTTTCCAATCGAATTGAACTGCGGAGCTCTTATCCGGGTTCACATCGATGCGCCATTTTTGGAACCAAGCTCCTAGGTCATCGACTGACTTTTGGATCTTGTTCCTTACGAAAGGTAGTGTGTGACTTTAAAGTATAGGGCAGTGTCATCTGCAAATAGGGAGAGCTGTACACCATTCGACGGGATTGGAATGTCGTTGGTGTACAAGATGTAGACGAGGGGAGCAAGTACTGATCCCTGAGGAGCACCAGCTTTGATGGGTCTCTGAGAGGAGAGCGTGCCTTCGTATCTAAAACGAAAGGTACGATGTTGTAAGTAAGAGGCCACGAGACGTACTAAACGATCGGAGAGACCTACTCTATATAGTTTAAGTATAAGGCCTTCGTGCCAGATTCGGTCGAAGGCTTTGGCGATGTCGAAAAAGACCGCGATGGTTTTATGTCGACGTGGATAAAAACCGCTGAGGATGTATTCCACAATGCGGTGAACTTGTTGGGGGCAGGAGTGTTTCGCTCGGAAACCAAATTGGTGGGGGATGACAATAGGGTCACCGTCTGTGGGAAACAGATAGCGCCTCATTCGATTTTGAATGACTCTTTCAAAGAGCTTGCCCATGGCCTTGAGGAGGCTAATGGGACGATGACTGGAGGGGAGGTTAAGAGGCTTGCCTGGCTTGGGAATACCAATGACAGTTGCCTCTTTCCACGTAGTTGGAAGTAACTAAGATTGAAGCAGGCGTTGAAAATAATAGCTAACATGGTTAACACCTGCTCTGGAAAGTGTTTAAGGGCTTGGTTGGAGATGCCATCCGCGCCAGGAGCTTTTTTGGGCTTGAGTCCTTTGATGAGGGACGAGATCTCATCATTGGACACAGTAATAGGGTCAGAGGTTATAGGGAGTGAGTTTCGGCGGCGGACCTCATCCTCCACTTCCTGAATATGTGAGGGGTCGACAGGTTGAGAGCTGGGAGAGCATTGTTCGGCAATGCTCTCTGCGAAGCACTTAGCCTTTTCGTCGTCCTTGAAGGCAACCGTACCGTCGGGGCGAGAGAGAGGGGGAGTGTGAGTTATAGCGTCTATACGGAGGGCTCTAGCCATCTTATAGTACGCTGTATATGAGGGAGATATATTCTCCATGAGTTCACTCCTTTGGAGGTCTCGAAGTTCGGAGAGGCGGAAACGGAGTTGTCGTTGAAGACGATTCGCCGTGTGCCTATATTCGGGGGTGGGATATTTTGCTGCTATCCGGAAAGCAGCTTTTTTAGCTTTTAATAGGTTGCTAATATATAGAGGAAGCCCACTATTATTAACAACCGGAACGACCCTTTCATTCTCCTTAAGGGAGGATTTAATAAGTTTCGAGAGTGAATCGACCGCGGTGTCGATTTTTTCAGGACTGTCTAGGTCTATGTCCGACGATACGTAGTTGGGGGAGTCCTGTGAGTCTATAGCTTTAGCTAGAGAATCCTTGAAACCCTTCCAATTAGTAAAAGTTTTCGTTGTTGTTATGGGGGGTGGCTGATGGCCAAGAATAAGGGAGACCGGTCGGTGATCGGATCCTATATCGTCTAGTGTCTCGATTGACCTGAGGTTAAGAGAAACTCCTTTGAGTAACGCAATATCTAGTATATCGGGGGCGTAATCGGTGGCATCGGGATAGTGAGTAGCACCGAGTGAACTGTGGATTGTAATGTCAAGAGACTGCGTTATTTCAAGCAGTTTCTTGCCACTACGGTTAGTTGCACGGCATGTCCATTCATTATGTTTAGAGTTAAAATCTCCAAACATAATGACTGAATTGCCTAGCGATAAGATAGCCTCAAAATCTTTTTTGAGGGGGTCGATTCCAGGGGGAATGTAACAGGAGGCTATGACTAAAGACTGATGTCCCGTCATAGCTAACCTGCATATCGTAGCTTCCATATTGGTAAGTTGAGGCGTATTAATGTGAGAGCAATGTAATGCCCTCTTGTAATAAATGGCCGTTCCGCCGCCTCGGCGGTCGGGCCTGTCATTACGAAGAAGAGATTTCTTTGAATTCGCGCCTTCATAGCTTTTATCACTGCTGGAGTCCTAACAGACCGTGGGCGACCACTTGTTGACCTGTCATCTTCACTAGAGTCTTTATTGTATCGTTTGATGGTACGATAAAGGAATCTTTTGGTTATATTCAAATTATTCAGTATGTCAAAAATTTAAATTGGCGCGTAACCGCAACTATGCAACGCAGTATAACTGCAACACGGTCTTCTTTAAGCGTCCACTCCATATTTAAAAATTAATAAAATTCTAAAAAGTATACAGTTTTATTTTCGTGAACAATTTTAAATTCGAATTCAATAAACTTTTTTGTGGCCAGCATTCTAAAAGAAAAGTTTTTACTGTGTGACAATACTTATGACCTGACTAGGTAATTACCCTTTTTGTACAAACTTTGTTTAATAAAGTTTTTGAACTTTGAGCAAATCAAATTTTGTATATTTTCTGGAATTTTGTTGTAAAAACAAAACGAGGCAGTCAAGTGTTATTACAATATTAAGGAACAAATTAATGTATTTTAATTAAAGTATTCATGGGTCGACTCGACCGGGGAAGGACCACGCTCTCACAGAATATCTGCGGAAAATATAGCACCTTAATGCTGCTCATGCAGATGATTTTCAGATATATTCACAAGCTAATCCTAGTGACTTAGCTGTAGCTATTAACACTTTAAACAGTGACCTAGCAATCATTTCGGAATGGAGCAGAAATTATGGTTTCAAAATTAACCAACTGAAGACACAACTAATTATTATAGGTTCTCCGCATATGCTTACAAAATGCAATTTACCACTAGCAACCAAAGTTGTATTTGATGGTAATATAATCCCGACCAGTGACATTGTCAAAAACTTAGGCGTATTCATCGATAAAACTTTATCTTGGGGTCCTCAGTTACAGGAAGTTAGTCGTAAAATTTTTGCAGCTGCTCATTCTTTGAGAAGACTACGAAACTTTTTACCAACTGCCACTAAGATTGCGCTTGCGCAAACTCTTCTGCTTCCAATACTCGATTATGCAGATGTCAGCTATCTTGATTTCACTGAAATGCAACTTGATAAACTTGAGCGACTACAAAATTTTTGTATAAGATTCATATTTGGTTTGCGTAAATATGATCATGTGTCAGATTTTCGTAACAGGCTCAAGTGGTTGCCAATTCGCCTTCGCCGGAATGCTCATATTCTCTCACTTCTTTATAATATTCTTTTTAATCCTTTCTATCCTTCTTACCTAAAAGATCGGTTTGAATTCCTCAATGAATCACATTTGAGACATTTGAGATCATCAGAAAATTTGATATTAAAAATGCCAGCCCACACTACCAAATTTTTGGACAGATCGTTCACAATACAAGCTGTTCGATTATGGAATGACTTGCCGTTATCAGCAAGACGCGCTCAATCCCTACCGGTTTTTAAGAAACATGTACATGATTACGTTTCTCAACTTTGATTCTATCTAGTTCATTTGTATATAATTATTCTCCTTTATTTAGTTACAATATTTGTTTATATGTATGGCACTTTTATGTTATATGTAATAGTTTTAAAGTATATATTTGTACATTTATATATTTATATTTATAAAAATATATATTTATTTGTATATTTATACATATATATTAATAAGTATATATGTATTTATCTTATCTATGTAGTTACTTATATACCATTATATATTTTTATTTTATGGCTTTAATAAAAATAATGTTATTTTGTCAGCAAACCACACACGTTTTTATTGCTTTTCTTGCAATGCTGTCCTTCCAAAGGTTGTCTGGAAGAGATCGCTCTTAGCGATAAGACCGCCCATTGTACCACATTTCTTTTTCTCATTTTTGTTAATATTTTTGTTATTTTTTGGCGTACAATAAAGTGTTATCTATCTATCTATCTATCTATCTGTATACCATATGCTCTTTTTAATGGATACAAGGCATTCCATCTTAGTCCTCAGGACAGACAATGCATATGCATTTTGATTCTTAATCGAGGATAGATGTAGATGTCTATGGGCAACAGTCACTCTTATTCTAAAAAAATCTCTGGAAATGAGGTCATCCCTACTATTATGTTTTTTATTATAATTCATGTAAATAATTGTATATTATTTTTTTATTTTAATAAGTATTACGTAATAATTAATGTTAAAGAAAATTATTATATGCTAAGGATACACCAACTGACATGCATAATATTATAAAATATTAGCCTCCGCGCCACACTCGAGCAGAGTTCATGAGGGTAGAACTGATACCTTAGAATTGATAATACTGGTCCCTATCACTACTCAGTTGAATCTGTATTAGGTATTTTTAAAAGACCCGTTTATTGCCTATTACACTTGTTAATTATCAAGGTTTGACTAAATTCTGGACAAACTTAGTCCGGAATTCATACTACTATGTTAAATGCTAGAAAGAATATCTTCCTGATAGATTATATTAAAACCATCTTGCGCCAGAAGTATTTTTTGTAAGTGGATTCTGTGTCCCATAGACATTTCTGCAGTCGCGATGTGTGTGGCCGCGACATTAAGGCTCTAAGATTTATCGAAGTTTTATAAATTATTAAATTACGCAAATATATATGCTAATGATTATATTTCCATTTCAGAAGGCTGGAAAACACTCGTCGACGACGTGGAATTTTTAATAGAATAAGCGATGTCGAAGTACTGGGCGGTTGGGTGGTTTGCAATGCCTTGCATTATCACTACGTTTGCGACGAGGTGGACAGTTGCGTCGCTGATTGATAATGCAAATTGGACAGATAGTTCGTGGGAAGCTGTTGTTCTTGTGTCCACCGCTGCTGTTGCTTTCTCAATATTCACCGTCTTTGCAGTCGTGTCAGTGGCGAAGCAGGTGCAATATCACGCAGTTGCGGTAAGCATTTTTGACATTAATTAAAATTTCGAAGTATACTACTAAAATTTTTCTGAAATGTTTGTTTAAATTTTCTTTAATAATTAATAACAATGTTTCAAAGTGACTGTGGTTTTATTTACCTTCAGCATAATGCGATTGTCTATTATATTTCCTTGCGAATAAAAGCCAAATTTTTCCCTAAACAAAACTTAACCAAGGACAAGACGTTTTTAACTCTACATCTTGTATATCATATGTTTCCTTATTATAACGAATTAACTTGGATGCGATGTTGAGGAAGTATGCATTGTTTGTCAACAGAAGTTGCAGTCGTCATTTAAACCATCAAGACACTGGTGGCCAAGGGATCCCGTTACGATCTATTATTCACTGGCGCGCCGTGATGAGTCGGAACGCAATTTGCACAGAACGAGATACAGACGTCATTTGGACCAGTTTTTCGGAAACGCACGTTTTTTCCACGTGTCAGATACGAGCACCAAAGAAACTCCCGTTGAGAATAAGAGACGTACAAACTCTGATGACTGGTTATACACTGTATGTAGAAAGAAATATTTAGGAGAAATTTGTCCACAGTATATAAAGGAAAATAAGCAACGATCGAAATCGTTAGATTGGTCATTGTTTTCTAATTTTAAAACAAAACATAATAATAATAATAATAATTTCGCCTCGGCAGTCTTGAAGGTTCGGACCTGTCCATCCTTTGGTTACGCGTAGACAGCGACGACCATCCGCGCGTCTATGGGTGCCTCTATAGGTCCCATAGCGGTAATGCCGAAACAGACCGACTCATCGACCACGTCCAAATGGCTACAGATTCCATGCTACAACAGGTCCCATCCGCAGAGATCGTGATCCTTGGTGATTTTAACGCCCACCACGCCGAATGGCTCGGTTCACGTTTAACCAATCATGCGGGGAGATCTGTTTATGACTTTGCTTTGGCATATGGTCTGACACAACTGGTTACTTCGCCTACGCAGATTCCAGATGTGGAGGATCATACACCTTCCCTGTTGGACCTTCTGCTGACCTCTCATCCGGACGGATATCAGGTTTCCGTCGATGCCCCTCTCGGCTCTTCGGACCATTGTCTGATCTGGAGTGTGATGCCACTCACGCTCCCCTCGCGGTTGCGTTTTGCAGGTTGCCGCCGTGTTTGGCAGTACAGGTCGGCGGATTGGGACGGAATGCGGTCTTTCTTGGCTTCCTACCCATGGGGGCGGGTTTGCTTCTCGCCGGATGATCCCAGCGCTGTTGCTGACTCTGTCACTGATGTGGTGCTACATAGAATGGAACTATTTATTCCATCATCTGTGGTACCCATCGGAGGCAGATCTCAGCCTTGGTTCGGTCGGTCCTGTAAGACTGCATTACGCAGTAAACAGGAGTGTTATCAAGCCTGGGCTGCGGCTTCGGTGACTCGCGATTTAAGCACCAGCACACTTAAAAAGAAGTATAACTTCGCCTCCAGGTCCTTCAAAAGAGTTATTGCCAAGGCAAAGTCAGAGCACATAGGCAAAATTGGCGAGAAACTAGTTCGCCTTCCTTCGGGAACGCGTGCATTCTGGTCTCTCGCCAAGGCTGTCCAAGGGAATTTCTGTAAGCCATCACTACCATCTCTGCACAGGGAGGACAACTCACTGGCCCAAGACGCAAAAGACAAAGCCGACCTTTTAGGCTCCCTCTTTGCATCCAACTCGACTCTTGATGACGGGGGGAAAACACCGCCAACCATCCCGCGGTGTGAGTGCTCCATGCCGGATGTGCTGTTCTCACAGCGCTCGGTTCGCAAAGCACTTCTCTCCATGGACATCCAGAAGTCGAGTGGGCCTGACGGAATCCCCCCAATTGTGCTGAGGACCTGTGCTCCGGAGTTGGCACCGGTCCTAACGCGTCTTTTCCGGAACTCCTACTCCCAAGGCGTAGTCCCGAAATCATGGAAGACAGCTTTTGTCCACCCGATTCCTAATAAAGGCGACCGCTCAGACCCGTCCAATTATAGGCCTATCGCGATCACCTCCTTGTTCTCCAAAATAATGGAATCCATTATTAACTGCCAGCTCATCCGGTACCTTGAGGATCACCAGCTGATTAGTGAGTGCCAATACGGTTTTCGTCGAGGTCGATCAGCTGGTGATCTTCTGGTCTACCTGACCCATAGATGGGCGGAGGCAGTAGAGTCCAAGGGGGAGGCGTTGGCCGTTAGTCTGGACATTGCGAAGGCCTTCGATCGGGTTTGGCACAAAGCGCTTCTTTCGAAGCTCCCTTCCTATGGGCTTCCCGAGAAATTGTGCAATTAGATCACCAGCTTCCTTGCAGATCGTAGCATCAAGGTCGTTGTAGACGGTGCATGTTCTGACTACAAGCTTATTAACGCTGGTGTTCCACAAGGCTGTGTGCTATCACCAACGCTGTTTCTTCTGCATATCAATGATATGTTGCTAACTGGTAACATTCATTTCTATGCGGATGACAGCACTGGTGATGCTCTATACACCGGCCGTGCCAATATTTCTCGGGGATACGTCGCCGAGTACCGGAACAAACTTGTGTCTGAAGTCGAGTCTTTGCTGAACAAAGTCTCGGATTGGGGGCGACTAAATCTAGTCCAGTTTAATCCTCAGAAAACACAAGTTTGCGCGTTAACCGCTAAAAAGAACCCCTTTGTCGTATCTCCTCAGTTTCAATGCACTCCCCTTCTTGCCTCAGCCAGTATCGGAATCCTCGGCGTCGACATATCGAGTGAGAGGCCTCACATGGAATACTGTTCCCATCTCTGGGCAGGGGCTCCCCAGTGCCAGCTCCTTCCACTTGACCGCATCCAGCGCAGAGCGGCTCGAATCGTCGACGACCGAGCCCTTTCCGATCGGCTCGATTCATTGGTACTGCGAAGAGATGTTGCATCCCTTTGCATTTTCTTTCGCATCTACCATGGGGAGTGCTCTGAGGAATTGTTCGGATTAATCCCAGCCGCCAAATTTCACGAACGCACATCGCGGCAGGGATATCGATACCATCCACACCATCTGGATGATTGGCGGTCCACCACAGTGCGATTTAGAAGATGTTTTCTTCCTCGCACGACTTCCTTGTGGAATCGATTACCATCAGCGATTTTTCCGGACCGATACGACTTAGGGACCTTCAAGAAAAGAGCTTACTCCTTTTTAAAAGGCCGGCAACGCATCTGCAATTCCCTTCCTGGTGTTGCAGTTGTTCATGGGCGGCGGTAGTCACTTACCATCAGGTGAGCCGCATGCTCGTTTGATCTCCTATAAAAATAATAATAATAATCTTTCTTTGCGTAAAACATGGTATATATGTTGTTCACAGGTAAAAATCGAGCGCTCATGTATTGCTTATTTTACATAGCATGCAAATATATTTAAACAATGTCAAATTTTCTTTAACTATTTGAAGTACATTAGTCACCTGTTTTAGTTAACAAAGAGAAATAATAATATAATAATTAATTACATGTCAATTTCAATACTTAGTAATAGTCGCACAGCTTAATCAAAGATATATTGTACAATACTATATTTTATTATTTTATATTTATTACAATGATTGAATATTTTTTTTAAATAAATGTTATCCAGTATATAATCTAATTTTTTTCTAAGAATTGTTTTACACTATAGAAATTATTTTCATTCAGCCATTTGTACAATTTCTTTTTGAATAATGTAATATTTAGGGTTTTAAGTTCGTCAGGGAGTTTGTTATATATTCGGACATACATGGTAAGGCAACCTTTGCCATATTTTTGTGATTTAGGTATATCCTTGAGTACTAGCTTGTGTGGGTCCCTACGTGAGCGATTAGTCTGTACCTCACAAGCTTTTTCAAATAATTGTTTGTGTCTCTGCACAAAAACACAAACTTTTAAAATATATATCGTTGGTAGTGGCAGTATTTCAAGACCTTTAAATAGAGGCTGACACGATTCATCGGGTCGTACTCCGCAGATTGCCCTAATGCATTTTTTCTGCGCAATAAAAGCCCGATTCCAATCCGAACTATTTCCCCACATCACCAGTCCATAACGGAGTATAGACTCGGCTTATGCTCGGCAAGTCATAACAGATGTTTTTATGTCAGTCACTTTTTTTATTTGGTTGAGCGCGTAACAACATTTGTTTACTTTATTACAAACTTCATCGATATGTGATTTCCAGTTCAGATTCTGGTCTATGACAACACCTAAAAATTTTGTTTTTTCTATTTGATTGATTTTTGTAATGTTTAGCTTGAAATTGTATTGGTTATGTTTTGACTTATTAAACTGAATAAAATTTGATTTTGTCAAGTTAATTTTTAAATTGTGAGCTTGCAACTGTATTAATTATGTCCAATTCGTGATTATATATTGAATTCTTATTTTTTTTTTAGTTCTAACTATAACCGAAATGTCATGAGCGTATGTAATACATTCATGACTTGTCGCATCAGATATGTCATTAATATATAATATAAACAATATGGGCCCTAAGATACTGCCTTGTGGAACACCATTAATATTTTCAATGCAGTTGGATTTATATGTTCTTAATTCTTTATTGATTAGTTTTGTTATCGTGACACATTGAGTACGATTTGTTAAATACGAAGCAATCCATTGCAACGTAATACCCCTTATTCCTATTTTTTCCAATTTATTTAATAATCGGTCGTGTGATACGAAGTCAAATGCCTTAGTCAAGTCAAAAACAGTCCCGTAGTCAAATGATTATCATTAATATTGGTCAACAATGTATT